AATTGAAATTATCTTCCAAAAATCCCTAATTTTGTTATTCTCTTCCCACCCTTACATCCTCACCCTTGCTTCCTGTTCTACATCACTAATTCAAATGGAAGGAACTTTCACGACGCTAGGAAAATCAGAAAATATTGTGGTAGTAATACCGGATAGTTGTTTTTGCCACGAGAAAGTTAAGCCTTTTAAATTGAATGGACTTTTTTACCCCTTTAATTACAGTGTAAGAGTTCCTCCCCTTTTTCCATTTCTGTCAGCGATAAGATTCACAATCACAAACATTTCTGAACTTTATAAACAACTTTGGAGAAAAACGATTGTAATAAACACACCACTGCTAACCACTTTCTAAACCTCGTACAAACATTTTGGCAATCAACAAGCTGCTTTTTTTATGTAAGGGGAAGAGTAGAGGAGAATAGTCGGTCCTAGAGGGAAAAGTTGGAAGGCCTCTTTGCACGAGCAGCTGTGTACAAGGGAGAAAACAAACTAGGGTGATAACCTTTGAATTCAGAACTGGTTTAATTTGAGGAAAGCAAGGATAAACCAGTCCATTCAATTTAAAAGGTTCAACTTTTTCATGACAAAAACACTTCTTTTCAAAGCAATAATAGTTCCTGTAACACATTTGACCATTTTTACTGTCAAAACATACCAGGTACGAAAACTCTTACCAATATATCCATGTTTACATGCACCTTATGTCCAATGTTTTAGTCACATAGAGACAGGATATCAGGATATACATTAAAAGCCAATGCGGTGCAGACCATGAGTTTTACCATAATTTTCTCATGTTTGGAGTTGCTTAATGGCTGAAACAACTTCGGTAATTGCCTTGAATTTTCGCCGTTCCTTGAGAAGCATCTTTGCAAATTCAAGAGCCTGTCGCTCGCAATCTGCTCTTCTGCCAGCATCTTTGATTGACTCAAAATCTTCAACATGGGCCACACCAACAATTCTCCTGTCAATCAAAAGATAAAACCATTAATCTTTTGAAAGTTTAATTACTAATTTCAATATTAATGTTCCTATAAAGTTCCAAGATTAATAAAATCAATAAGATCCAGCATGAGATGCAAGTCAGAAATACTGCTATCATAATTGTATTTTCCCAAAGATTCAGATAATATCATTCAACCTTTTATGAAAGGCAGAAATAAACCTTCAAGGCATATTAAAGCCTCAAATAAGTGCAATAGAACCAGCGCTTATGGCCCAATGGTTGTTCCCTGCTTCAAAGCTTGGTTACTTTTAAGTCCCAACTCCATTGTTGATAAGGAGAGCCACTGCTATTGGTTGCAACTTAACCCTCCCAAAAATCTAAATGTTTAAAAAAAAAAAAAAGTGCAATGGCCCATCACAGAAGACAGCATCCAATGCATAATACACTTTACAGAGATCTCATAAGTAAATTCCAAAAAACATTGAGAATTTTTTTTTGTACAAATATTGAATACACTGGTAAAATGTCAAAGAACTATTAATGCAGAGTTGCAGAGCCATCAAAGGTCCTAATTGTGATAACTGTATCTCACCTTATCATTTTGGCAGAACCAAATCCAAGTGTGTCATGGAACAAATCTTCCATGTACTTTGCTTGTATAAGCTTCTGAAGCTCAGGGTTGTTATAAATTCCTGGAAGATAAGCCTCGCCAGGCCCATCCTTGTGCGCATCCCATAGCACAGTGAACTTTTTATAAAAAAGAGTCCATGTATCATCAATTGTCTTCAATATCCATTCCTTGTATGCCTGCATGACAAGGTAAACTTTAGCTGAGAATTTATGGTATTTAAAAAAAGGACACATATATAAAAATAGTATGTGAATGGCTACACACACATGTAATAGATTAAGCTCCTCAACCAGAACAAAACTAAAAACTGCACTACAAAGTAGCACACATGTATTTCCTTCAGCAACTCTGTATGTATGTGCATCAAATTTCCACTTTAATCAAATTGCCAATAAATTTGTTATGAAAAACGATTCCAGCATATGGGGCATGTATCACCTTTCAAGGCATTAATGCCCTCTGAAATGATTCATTTTGTTCCCCTCCTTCCTTCACCCTGACTAGGACCTTTTCTTTACCTTTAACTTAGAACTAAAATGCAAAACATTTTCAAAATTTTCATAATAAAAAGGCACATATTCTCTGCACCTTTAATGCACAATAAGTTCTTTGGCTCTTAGAATTGGTTAACAACCTCTAGACCACACTCACATGATGATCAAACAAATGTAACCATACTAAATAAGTCAAGAGCCATAACTGTAGGACAAATATACGTCAGAAAATTTATTAATAAAACCAGTGGGAATTTCTTGAAGAACTTCAGTTATTACATTACTAACAAAGACATGTTTTTAACTTTTTACAAGGCAACAGGTAGAAGTAATCAAAGCAAAAAAATTTCAGTTCGTATAGCACATTGAAAGATAGTTTGAATAATAATAATAATAATAATAATAATAATAAATGATAAATCAAAAAAGTGTTTTACAGTCTGGACTATTCCAGACTGTAAAACAAGACACCCGTGATAAATAATCAACTAATCATATATAAGTAATAAGTATGGATAATAATAATTAAAATAAATTATAGTAAATTATGCTGAAATATTGACACCAGTAAAGGAGACTAAATGCCCACATCAATAAGGAAAGAAATGCAGTAAAGAGACTGAAAAATACCACCAGATAATGAGAGACAAGACTAAAAGAAAATGACAATGACAAAAAAGAATAATGAAGAAACTGATTCTGGGGCATACTTTTCGGTCATTCACTTGATCAGCATGTCCATCTTGTGCAAAGAAAGCCAAAATCAAGTTCCCAATAAAAGCACCAATATCGAATCCCATTGGTCCATAAAATGCAAACTCTGGATCTATAACTTGAGTTGAATCATGAGTGACCATAATAGACCCAGTATGGAGATCGCCATGAACAAGGGCTTGGGTTCTTTCACAGAACCTACAAGAAAGGCCAATCTAGTGTTTCATGGAATAAACCTAATAATAGAATTTTTATACAGAGAACCCAAAGTTGTGGAGAAGGCATACTTAGATTTTAGCTCAGCCACTTCAACCTTTAAAACATTATCCTCCCGGACAGCCTCAGCATCACGATCTAGGTAAGGAGAAGTCCAATGATTATATTGTGATACTTTGTATGGGTCAGAAAAAACAACCTGCTCAGTGAGCCTGCATAGCTCGACATTCCCACAAAACTCAGCAACTGCATAAGAAAATTTAATTCAGTTAAGTTAGCATTATATCAGCAAGCATTTTAAAAGCCAAAATGGGTATACAAGAATAAAATCTCCTGATAAAAATATTTGTTTAACGCCACTTATCAATCATACAGCTTACATGTACAATATAACACCCAATAAGCTATCTCCATGCAGAGGCATTCTCTACATCATCTGAGGTGACTTTTTAGGTAGCTGGACTCAAAGAAAAAGTTGGGTTCATGTTTTCTACAAAATTTAATTCTTGTCATTTGGATGCTAGTTGGCTACATGATTGCTAAACTAGTCTAGGAAAATTATAACGTCAATTAAAAGCTGCAGTTCAATTATGAGGGAAAAATGCAATCGCATGCTTAGTCTCAATCAATGTAAAGCTTTTCCTAAGTTATGACCGAATTTTTTTGGGCTTTTCCTTTCCTCCTTCACTAATATATAGAGATTAGTTTAAAAAGAAATCTGTCCCCTAGAAGGTGTTCTTACGGCATCAAAGCAAGCACTAGCACTATTCAAACTTCTGGGAGAGATATGCTTTCTCTAGTCTGGCCTCAAAGTTGTCTTCACATAACAATTAACAATATCACTCCCAAAAAATGTACAAACCTACTCACTATTCTTATCGTGCAAAGAAAATGGAATGATAATTTCAAGGAGTCAATGCACTGTGCTTTAGTAGCAAACCTGGCAAAATAGTTGCTTTTTATAACAGAAGCCAGCATGACATCTAGATAAAGTGTTGCCATAAAATGGGAGATATCTACATAAAATAAAAAGGCAATCCCTAAAACATTCTATGACTGTTTATGGTGCTTGTTACGTTACAGGCTCGTAGCATAACTGATAATATTGACATACAAAACAATCTCATAGGAAAAGAGATAGCCTGAAAACAGTTGAAGTTCAGTCACAATTTTTAAATGCCCCCAACCATCCCCCTGATTAATAAGCAATTCAAATTATTGATATTTGTATAACTTACAACTAATTATTGTTATTGTAAAGATATATATTAAAAATGATTTTTGACTAGATAGGGATCCTATAGTCCAGAGTCCAGACTCTAGCCATCCACTGTTAAAATTTTTATAATAGGGAGCATACAACACTTTCCAACTGAGATTTGGTACAAATAAGTTCACAACCTTTCAAAAGTTTCTAATTAAGGATATGACTTTTGCAATTTTCAAAAAAATAGATTAAGTGGATGTGTAAGGTCATATCCTTAATTAGAAGCCTTGAAAGGTGGTAGCCTTGATTAGTAAAGAAAGAAGGTCACATCCTTAATTAAAAATTTTTTGAAAGGTTATATCCTTATTTATACCAAGTTTCCTTTCCAAATAAACTAAAGGTGCACAAAAGAGAAGCCTGTTTGTCAAGAAGATTCAACCGTCCACAGCTTTATCACCTGAATCAGTCTGTTAATCAACTATTCCAGAATCAAGATTAAATAAGCACCAGCCCACATTATAATAAGGCTTCCATTCTAACTACATCATTTTCTTTGGGCCAGAATTCTCAGAGCATTTAAATTTTACCAATTGTACACAAACATGGAAACAATTCCGAAACCCCAAAATATCCAAGCAAGACAGTCATTTTCTAACTCCATTAGTAACAAAATATAAGAATTCATAGAGAAAATGCAAGGGCAACACCAAAAACAATGGATATAAATAGATACTACCAGAACGTTTGTGCTCTGTGGTTGTAAGATATAACAGAGATGTGAAGAAAAGAGTCTTGGCCATGTACTCCGACATGTGTTCAGCAAGCAATGGATATTCAGTTCCAGCAATCAACCCTTTTCTTAAAATTATATGCGGTGGCTCCAAGTATCTCATGCCAATCAAAGACATAGTACGGTCAAAATGATAAACTTCCGGCACATGTTCAGGGCACAATCGGCCATGCTCTTTCAGTACTAATGCCTCGAAATACGCCCGTTCCTTCGTCATCGGCCAAGATTCACCAATACATCGTATGTATGGAAGTGCCTGTGCTCACACAAAACCAAATCAGAACAGAAAACTTCTCCTCACCGCAGAAAAACCCTAAAGCCATGAATTTAAAAACCAGCAATCAGGATTGACGACGGAGAAGTGAGAAAAAGAAGAAGAAGAAGGAGTTCTGACCTGCTTGATGACGAAAGAACCGGAATCATTAACGACAATGAAGACAAAGTTGAGATTGCCATCACCAACTTCCTTGATTTTCAAGTCGTCGAACTTGTCGCCGAGCTTCGAGGACAAAATCGGGGTCGCTTTGATGTACTCCACCAGCGACTTCTCGTCCAGCGGCCTGAACTCCGAGAACACCATCTTCCACTTTCTCAGTCTCTGCTACGGTCGCAGGCGAATCTTGGGTTTAAGAATAATAGACGGCGCAAGTGACTCCGAACCCACCAAAATGGGCTGGGGAAAACAGGACCCACGTGGGGTTGCAAAAATGTAGAAAAAGGATTATTAGCGTATGGTTGAAGCTGATAAAATGAACCTGGACGGGATTTGGGAACATAATTTGAATTAATTTTATTTGATTTGGTAAATATGCAGTGAGATATGGATAAAAATAAAGATAAAATGGGATAAATCCGGTTTAAATAATCGCGGTTTTTAATCAATATTTTTGGAAATTTGCAGTTGGGTTTGGGGTCTTTTGGGCTTTTTGGTGCTGAGATGTCGGGCTTCAGTGGGCCGCTTTCCATCTATGGGCTTCAGAAGGCTCAAAAGCAATTCAGCAGAAAAAGGGGCCCAAAGCACATAAATGGCCTCGAAAAGTGGGTGTTAAGTAAAATTTAAAAAATATTTATTTTAAAAATACTATTCTTTTCTTCTAAGTTTATAATTTTGTTGAGGGAAATACTTAAGTTTAGCTTTGTAAGATCTTTTTGAGTAAATTTTGAAAATTTTGTACATTTAAGTTTTTTTTAAATTTATTTAAAATTCACTTTAAAAAATAATTTTTGAGTTTCTCTCTAACAAAAGATTTCAAATTTTTAAAAGAATAATAGTGCTTTTAGAGAAATTAGGATTCAAGCGTTGTCAAACACCCTCAAGGTCACCCTAAGGTAGTCGTTCAATATCTGATCCTTTACAATGATATCATTTTTTCTTTTTCTTTTTTTACTAGTATTTACTGTCAAAGTGTCTTGTTTCAATTTTTGTGTATTTCAACATTAATCCTCCTTGAGTAATTTTATGGGTACACTTTTATATTAACTTAGTGCAATAAAAAAATTAATTTCTTTAAGTATTGATCAAAGATTTAAACTCTGTACCTAACCTTGCAGATAAAGCTTGATGAAAAGTTCTAGGGGGTGACAAAATTTTTTTTCTAGCACATATAAATTATAGGATAAAAAATAACATGCAGACAAATTCAGTAAAAATATTCCATTTGTTCTTTTTGTTAAATTTTGTCACAATTTTTTTTTTAATTTCAAGATAGACAATTATTTTTTTGTTTTTAACCCTATTTTTACTTTTAAGTTTAATCCTCAATCATATTTTTAAGTATATTTTATAGTATAAATTATAGGACTATCTTTCATTAAATTATGGAGAAATTAATTTTGAGGTGTCTGCAAACTAACCCAAAAAGAAGGATAAATATGAGTTTGTTAATTAGAGCTTAAATTAACCGTATATAAAATTAATCAATAATGAAAGAGATCAAATTAATTAAATATTCCTAATAAAGAACTCAAATCATGGTACACAAAATAAAGTATGATAGAAAAAATTCATCCGTCTACGATAATTAATCAAACAATTGATATGGATAACAAAAAAATTCTACTCCATAAATCTTCACCTAAAGGCTCAAAATATTCAAAAGTTTCCAATTATAACACTATCAAATACTAAATTATGATCTATATGCAACTAGTAATATAAAAAAAGTATATGATTTTTGACAATAAAATAAATATGAAAATTACCAAAAAAGGAAAAAATATATCTTATGTATAATTTTTTTTTCCCATAATCTTAGAGGGGCCACGGCCCCTTTTGGCCTTGATGAAGCTCTGTCCTTTTACTTGCCCTAGCTTACTAGTTAATCAAGTCTTAGGTTGCAATGATAATGTATTTCTTATCCATTTATTCTCCTCTCTTTTTGAATTTGGTCTAGTTTTGTTCGTATAGATATAAATAAGTAATGAAAATGTTATATGATAAGACAAAACTCTGTTTTCAGTTGTTTAAGTAGGTAGCTAGGCTCGAATTATGTTGCAATTTTAAGTAGGGATTTCTGTAAGGTTAAACCCCTATTTTGGTCCCTAAACTATTATACGGACCCTTGATTTGGTCCCTGAACTAAATAAATCCCTAATTTGGTCCTTAAACTATTGTACGGACCCTGAGTTGGTCCCTAAACTATTGTACGGACTCCCAGGTTAGTCCCTAAACTATTGTACGGATGCCCAATTTGGTCTCTACTATTTACCAATTTAACCCCAACTTGGTCCTTCTGTTAAATAATAGCTCAGGGACCAAATTGGAGCGAAATTGTAAACAATAAGGACCAAATTAGGGGTCTGTACAATAGTTCAAGGACGAACTTAGGCCAAATTATAAACAGTGGGGACCAAATCGGGGTCCGTACAATAGTTTAAGGACCAAATCAAGGATTTCTTTAGTTCAGGGATCAAATTGAAGGTCCGTACAATAGTTCAGGGGTCAAAATGAAAATTTAACCTTTCTGTAAAGTTGTATTGGTAGGGTGAGACATGTACTTTGAATTTGAAGACTTTTCTGAAGTGAGTTAAAGCAACCCTTTTACTCTCTTGAAAATAAAGGTTTTGCTTGGCAATTAAAAAAAAGAAAGAAACAAAAAAAAAATATTTGAAGGGGTGATTCACAAAAGGTGTGATGTATAGTGTCAAGGAGATAATCTCAAAAATATTCATGACTTATTCAAGTTGTCTTTTTATAGTAAATAATGTTATATTTCTATGTTATTTGATCTTAGTTTCTCTTATTTTAAAAGTCAACAAGCCTAATTGGTTTTATCCATTATAGTTTTTTTTCTCTCTAAACAATTAATTAGGTTGTCAATGAACATTAATTTATACTGATTTTAAATTATTAAATATAATAATATAATAAAAAATTTTAAATATAATAGATATAAGTGTTTTATTCTTATTAACAATTTTTAACTGTCAAAATATTTAATAACTCTGGTTAAAAGTGGGTTCTTTACCATTTTGTGTCACTGCATGCAGCTTTAACTCCGAAGTAGATTTTTATTTTTTTTAAATTAGGAAATTTGGGGATGTGGGAATTTTTTTTTTTCCGAAGTACATTTTTTATTTATTGAAGTAATTGAGGTTACCATCATACATTAATTACATGCGGTAGAATTTCTGGCACTCAGCGCCTCAGCCCCTAATTTACATGCAGTAACCTCAACTACTCTACCATGGTCTTAAATGCCTGAGCAGTGAGCTTCACACAGCTGGTGAACTGAACTTGGACTCTTGGAGGCAACAAAGTTAAGTCTCCACCATCTATAGTTGATTTCTAGTTTTATATTGTGGAGGAGGTAGAAAAAAAATTTTAGGAGGCAAAACAAAATTTTGATGAAGAAAACCATGGTATTTATGCATTAATTGAAAATTTGACAAAAAAAATGACAATTTAATAAGAAGAAAATTATTTTAAAATAAAATTTGTTAGTTTTTAATGATAAATTAATAGATTTTGATAAGGTAGTATTATATATCCTCAATTAAAAGATAAAATCAATATATATTGAATAGATACTGCTAATAAACAAAAAACAAAAAGTAAAAGAATATTAAGAACAACTATTTTGTAAAATAATGATATTGAACAATTTTACATTTAATTAATCTTTTATTTTTCTCATCTTTCATTTTATTTTTATTTTCCTTGTCTTTCATATCATCACTAAAAGTAATCTTTGATAAAAAAATAAAAAAAAAGGGTTAGAATATATAAAATAAACAAGAATTAAAATAATAAAAAATAAAACTTAATGGACCAAAATTTTTATTTCTCATGAGTTTGGGGGGACCTGTGCACCTTGAAACCCCCTTAGCTCCGCCTTGGGTTTATATGTAATTTTAATCAACTATATACTAAATTTAGGAAGCACTCAAT